AGCCCTGGGTCTGCATTTTCCCTGGCCTTGTTTATCCAAGCAGCCTCCTGGCACGTTGACCTGACTCCTTGCTCGTTGGGGAGGAATCATCTTGTTAAAAGTAAAATGAAACTGAGCTGAAATATAGTAATAAAATTTATTGAAGATTTATATAAAATGCAAATAAGCAAAACAGCATGCTGGGCAGCCGGGGAGACCCCTGCTCCACTCACGGCACGCAAGCACAGTAAGCAAAAGCAGTAATTTTAATCCCTTATCAGTTCCCCTCCCATTGTCACTTGTTGTTCTTCTATTGGATCTGAGTTTGCAGGTCTGGTTTTGGTTGGTTTCCCTGCAGGCCCGTTTCAGTTGCCAGGTGCTTTCCTGTCCATAGTTTTAATTAATCTTTAGTCCTTGAAGCCTGGTGTGTTAGGTATTTCCAGATGTCCATCTTGGATTCTTTGTATCGTTTTAGTTCTTGATCCTTTGATCCTTGTCCTTCCTTTTGTTACTTTATGCTTGCTATGAGACAATAAGCTTTTTAGAAAAATAAGATACAAAAATACTTACTCAACAAGGCACAATAATTTGTCTTTCTAGCTTAAGAACTGCAAGCTGCATGCCTATCAGCTTACAATGCTGATAGATTAATGAACCATTCTACAACTTACAGTCTCCTAACCTTAACTGAACAGTGGTTATAATAACATATATATGCATATAAGAATATAACATGCACTACAATTTAATGCGTAAACTACTATTACTAATTTGATGAGTAAATTTCAACTATTACCACTAATTTATTACACTCTTGAGCTCCACACTGGTGAGACTCTGGACTGCTGTGTCCCCTCCTGGACTTCCCAGGATGAGAAGGACATGGACATGTGGGAACAAGTGCAATGGAGGGCCATGAAGGGAGCAGCTGATATTTGAGGAGAGACTGGGAGAACTGGGTTGGTTGAGTGTAGAGAAGAAATTGCGGGCAATGGAATTTGTTGCTGTGTTTAGGCACCTGAGGCTGTGTAATTCCCATTCTTGAGGATATTCAGAACTGAACAGGGCAAGGCTGTGGGCACCTACTGTTCCTAACCCTGTTATACCTCTTGGCCTCACCGATTTGCTCCTCAGTCACTGCAGTGGGATGGAGGAGAGAAACAAAAGGGGTAGAGTGGGAAAATGTGTGTTGACATAAAGAGAGTTCAATACTCAAAGCAAAAGTAGCTCACAAAAAAACAAACAATGCAAGGAATTCCTTCCTGACTTCCCACTGACAGGCACAGGTTTAGCCATTTCTAGGACAACCTTCATCATGCATAACACTTACTTGGGAAAGACAAAGGACATCATTCCAAACTTCCCCCTTTCCTCCTTTTTCCCCCAGATTTGCTGCAGGGCACACTTTCATGGTGTATGAAATATTCCTTAGGCCATTTGTGGTCAGCTGTACAGCTGGCAGGCAACAGGAGAAGCAGAGAAGACTTGGTGCAGCCATTGCTGAGTGATTGCTGTGTTATCAGCGTGGGTTTGGCACAAAACAGAGCAGCTGCCCAGACAGGCTGCTGGGGAGAAATTTCACTCCCACCAAACCAGAACACCTACTCTGGCTGACGCTGGTTCAAGCAGCAGGGTGGACCAAGACCTTTCCCAGAGATCCATTACAACCTCAAAGCTTCTACCATCCCAGCAGCAAAACTGCCTCCTCTCCTGCTCCCCCTTCCTTATACCCTTTGTGGCTCTCCAGAAAGGACAGCATCAGAGATGGCCTGTCAGAGCATTTATGAGAGATCTTTGGGCCCTGGAAATGGTTTGGCAGTGCTCTTGAGTCCTTGGGTTTCTGACAAGGGGAAGAAGGTCCTCCTGACCTCATGCACTGCTCACACCCCCACATGTGCCCCCCCTGCAATCTCCTGGCAATGACCTTTGGATGGCTGGGAGAGGGAAAGGGAGAATTCCTACCAGATTTTTCCCCAGTGAATTTTGTCCTGTCCATTCCCATCCTCCTCATCCAGCCTCCAGCTAAAGGCCATGACCAGCAAGAGACCTCTGGGGCTACAGGATGCAGCCAGTCCCTCAGCCAAATGAGAATGTTCCAATGTTCTTCCAGAGCCAGGCTCAGTGTTTGTGTAGAGTTGTAGTACCCTGTCACATGTGCCTGTACCTGTGTCTGGCAGAAGAATAACACACCCTAAGTCCTATCAGGAGACCACACACCATAAATACAGCAAACAACAGAAATAAAGGAAGCAAACCCATGCTCAATAGCTCTCCTCACTCCTCTGTGTGCAGCTGCTTTACCCACCCAAAATTACTGTTCCTTTCCAGCTTTGAAACCTTTAGGGACAGAGAGTTTTCCCCAACACTCCTGTACCACAAGCTGTTTCTGGAAGTCCTCAGGGGAGCAGCTGAGAAAGGCAAGATGAAAACTGCAATATTCTTCTTGCTTAGAAGAATGAACAGCACCTGAGACTATGAGCTCTTACCTGAGGGTTGGTTTGTCCTCAACACCCACCCGAAGGCAGCTCCTCCCAGCACAGAATACCCCATAACAACCAAAAAACCAGAAGATTTATCCCTCAGTGAAACCAGACATTTAACCATGGCCAGAAATGCAATCACCTAGAATCGAGAAGGGGAGAGACAAGACAACAAGATTCAGTTGAAAAGGAGCTACAATGACCATCAAGTCCAACTGCCTGACTACTTCAGGGATGGACCAAAGTTTAAGAATGTTTCATTGTCCAAATGCCTCTAAAACACTGATAGGCAGCAGCTCAGCAGCAGCAAGGGCCAGGAGCCCAGGGGAAGGACAATGGGCCACCCTCCCAGGGCAGCTCCAAAGTCCCAGCAAACCCTGCAAAACTTCCTCAGGGAAAGGACAGGTTTGGCCCCACACCAGCACCTCACCTTTTGCCCAGCAGAGCCTTGCCTGCCAAATGAACACTCTGTTCTTGCACCCTGCAGGGGGAGAGACAGCCGGGAGTGCACCCACAGCTTCAACTTCTGCTCCTCCAGCCCCCACCTCTCACCCTCCCTGCTGTCAGAGACAGAGGGAGGGACTAGGAGGGACTGGGCCTGAGTGCAGTGACAGAGGCACAGGCAGGGGAGGTGTGGGCAGAGCTGTTGTGCAGGCAGAGAGAAGCTGGAGAGAGGTGAGACAGATGGGCCTGGCCATGTGGAGTGTCCTGTGTGGGGGGTTCTTGCCCATTGTAGGTAAGTGAGAGGAAGGGGTGATGCCGCCCAGGAACTGAGTGTGCCCTTGAGCTCTGCACGGCTCTGGGGAGCTGTGCTGACCCCTTGCAGCCTGACCTGTTCCCAGCTCCACCTGTGCCACCATCCCTGTGGAGCAGGGTGAGAACAGCCCTCCTCCTCTTGTAGCTGGGAGCTCGTCACCTCCATCCCAGCTGCCTCCTGTGCAGGGTGGGGACAGCAGGGCACGGCCCTGCTGCACTCACAGCTGGGGGCACAACACTTTGCACTGGGACTGGACACTCTGCCCTTGGGCACTGCAACCCACCTTGCAAAGCCCAGCTCGAGGATGGCAGCACAGGCCACAAGCCCCACTTGCCTGTGGAGGTCTTGGCCTCTCTCGTGTGACTTCCCAGAAGATTCAGGGACAGGTTAGGTTTGTTCCTCAGCATCTCCGAGTGGTCATGGCATGTTGTCTGTCTCTGCAGCAGTCACTGGCCAGGTGGCCTTGGAGCAACAGCCCAGGGAACTGACTGTGCAAGAAGGAGATGAAGTCAACTTCCAGTGCAGCATGACAGGAGAGAATATGAGAAATTACGACATGTACTGGTACCGTCATGGCCCACAGGGCACTCTGGAATGGATTTACAGGGAGGGTGGTATCTATGGAGAAGGTTTCAAAGATCGCTTTAAGGGATCAGTGGAGAGCTCCAAGAACAGATTCACACTGCAGATCCTGGCAGCACAGCCAGTGGATGCAGCAACTTATTACTGTGGAGCAAGAATCACCCTGGAGCAGCTGTGCAGCACAGTGGAACCAAAACTGTCTGATGGGAAGACAGATCTCTCAGCATTTCTTTCCGGCAGCTGCTCACCAGGGGTGTTGTCAGGCAATGGCAGGGGCAGGAAACAGACCCACTGGACAATGTCTCATTTACACAGAGAGGGGTTAAAAGAAAGATGGGGACAGCATTTTTAACACAGTCTGCAAGGATGGGACAAGGGGTGACAGTTTTAGACAAAAAGAGGGAAGATTCAGAAAAGATACAAGGAAGAAACTTTTTATAATGACGGTGATGGAACAAGTTGCCCTTAGAAATTGTATCTATTTCAACCATGGAACAAATAGGGTGGGGCTTGCTCAAGTTGAGGAAGATTGGCCTGATAAGATGTCCCTGATCATTGCAGGAGGGTTGAACAAGATGACCTTGGAAATTCACTTCCAACTCAAACTAGCAGATGATTCTAAACCGCTTTGTATTTCTATACATTGAGGAGGGCACATCTCCCCCTCCCCAATCCCAGGCTTTTCTTCTCCAGGGTAAACAGTTCCAGCTCCCTCAGCCTTTTGTCATGCAAGAAGTACTCCAGTCCCATAATCATCTTCATGGTCCTTCGTTGACCCCTCCCCAGTAGATCCATCTCCCTAGCAGGGGCAGTCAAGATGTGTCCCCAGTGCTCCAGGTGTGGCCCCAGCAGTGCTGAGTCGAGAGGAGCCATCACCTCCCTGGCCTGCTGGCAGCACTTTGTGTAGCACAGCGCAGGATGGCAGTGACCTTCTTTGCTCCAAGGGCGACTTTCTGGGCGAGCTGTCGCCAGGAAGAAGCCTCGGTCCGTTCCGACGCTGTGTGCTCGATGTGCGCAGCGCTGCTTCGTGTCCGCGGCATCCCCGTGCCCGGGCCTTGTCGGGGGGGCCGGGCCGGGTGTGTGGGGGTCGGGCAGAGGCGCCGGCGCTGCCCCGGCGAGGCGGGGCCGGGCAAGAGCGGCCCGAGCGCGGCTCCGCTCGGCTCGGGGGCGGCTCCCGCGGAGCCTCGGCCGGGCCGGGCACGATGTGGGCCGGGCTGGGGCCGTGGCTGCTGGGCTTGGCCTTGGCCTTGGGGCCGGCAGGTGAGAGCCGGGCGGGGAGGGCAGCGAGCCCGGGGCTGGGGAAGGAGGGAGCGGCAGAGGAGAGGCGGGAGCAGCGACAGGGACAGGGACAGGGACTGGGGCTGGGGCTGGGGCAGACGCAGGGACAGGGGCTGGGGGTGCGGGGGTGGCTGTGTCTGTGCCGGGCGGTGCTGCCGGGGCAGTGGGGGAACACGCTCGGGCCGTGGTCGCTCCGTGCCCGATCCCTGCGCTCTCCCCCGCAGGGCTGTGGGCGCAGATGAGGCTGGAGGAGGCCGGCGGGGCTCTGCGAGCGCCCGGCGAGTCCGTGCTCCTCTCCTGCCGCGGGTCCGGATTCACCTTCGAGAATCATTATGTTCGCTGGTACCGTCAGGCACCCGGAGCGGGGGTCGAGTGGGTTTCCTGGATAAGCCATTATTCATCACAGGTGCAGTTTGGGCCAGCAGTGGAGGGTCGAGCCACAGCCTCCCGGGACAATTCCCTCTCTGAGGCATCTCTCAGCCTGCACCTCCTGCACGCTGGGGACGGTGCCCGCTACTTCTGTGCTGTTTGCACGGAGACACAAAATCAGCTGAGCTTGAACACAAACCACCTGTCAATGTCCCTGCTCTCTGCCTCTGAGCTGGAAGGGACTGTGGCCTACAGATGTGCAGAGTTGTTCCCAAAGAGTCCTGTAGTCACACAACTCCCCTCCCACCCCACCAAACTGTTCTGCCTTTAAAAGCAACTTTTCCTGGTTCCCTTGGTTCGCAGTATTACAAGTACCCAGTGCAATTGGTGAGGTGTGTGAACAGCCCTGCTGTGGCTTTGGGCGCAGCTCATGTTCACTCAGTCCAGCCCATGAGTTTTACTCCCTGAGGGGTGAGAGGAGGAAATGGGGAAATTCCAGATGGTCATTTGGGAGCTCAGTGAAAGATTAGGGAACCCTGTGTTTCTTTACCAGACCTGAGATTCTAAAGGGAGCAAGGATTTGCAGCTGCTGGCTCCTGGAGATCACAAGCAGAAACCCAGGGATGTGGTGGAATAGTTCAAGTGACTGCTTAAGTTGTTGCTGTCTGTTCATCCTTGTCTCCTGGGGTTGCAGGTGGCCTTTCCCGGGTGCAGACAAAGGCCTCAGGCCCCACAGGAGGGAAGATCTCAGAGCCTGTCTCACTTACGTGTCACATCTCTGGTGTCCCCATCACTGACAGCAGCTACGCGTGGGACTGGATCCGGCAGATTCCAGGCAAAGAGCTGCAGCACATAGTGCTGCAATATCCTTTCACGGGGCTCCAGCACATTGCTTCATCCTTCCAGACCCGAGTCACCAGCTCTGCAGACCCCTCCAGGAACCAGCTGTTGCTAGAAGTGCTCTCACTAACAGCTGCAGACACGGCCACCTATTTCTGCAGCACTCGAGAGCTCGAAAAGGGCACAGTGCTTGAAACACAGGCAGGGACAGGGCAGAACTGAAGGAGGGGCTTGAATACAGAGGAGTCTTCTGGGGTTGCTGCAAGGCAGGACTTTTCCCACACTTCTCAAGACTAGTCTGGGCTATCTTTTCCCAGAAACAGATGCAAGAGTAACCATAACAGCAGCAGTCTCCCACAAGCACACCTCAAACCATGAACATGTTGTTAACTTGTCACTTCCTACTCAGTATCTCCCACAGGCAGGAAGAGCCAGGGAAATGGTGTTTGAGGATTTGGGTGTTTCTGTTTTAATGAAATAATGTGCTGGTTCTGGCTGGAGTAGAGTTGATTTTCTTCACAGTACCTAGAATGGGACTATATTTTGAATCTGTGCTGGAAATAGTGTTGATAATTCCAGGGTGTTTTAGTTACTGCTGAGCGGTACTGACACGGAGTCAAGGCCTCATCTGCTCCTCCTACCACCCACCAGTGAGTAGCTGTGGGTGCCCAAAGTTTGAGAGGGAACACGGCTGGTTCAGCTGCCCCCAACTGACCAAAGGGTATTCCAGACCATATCACATCATACTCAGTATATAAAGATGGGGGAGAGGAAGGAAGGGGGAACATGGAGTGATGGCATTTGTATTTCCATGGAACTGTTTTGCTTTTCTGGAGTAGGCTGAACTCTGGGGTGTTGATGGAAGTAGTGAATGAATTCTTTGCTTTGCTTGTACACACAGTGTTTGCTTTATTTATTAAACTGTTGAGTTCTTCATTAAACCTCTGAATTTTCTCATTTTTACTGTTTCAATTCTCTCCCCCATCCAGCCAGGGGGAAAGGAGAAAGCAGCTGTGTGGTGCTTAGTTGCCATCTGTGGTGAAACCATGACAAAGGAACACAATGAGCATTGAATGAGTTAAAGTTTTAACATGGAGAGACAGAAGACAACTGCATTTGGACACTTCCTGTTGTTTAGGGAGTCTCACAGGAATGTTGCAGCAGCCCAGAACCATAGTCAATTAACTGTATCTTAGAAGAGAGTGGCCCTGCACCAGAAACTGCACTACCAAGATGATTTTTTCTCAGGAGATGATGAAAAATTCCTTCTCTGCACTCCTATCTTTGGTTCCATGTGAATAAACACAGGTGTTCTTATTCTGAAGACTGACCATTCCTTTGTTTACTTGGAAGTGTAGATTTTCATGGAAGACATTTGGAGACCTATGCAAATGAATCCATGTGCTTGTGTTCCTGGGCACAGTGCAAGAGGCATTGTCCCAGGTTGGACTTGGCTCCCAGCCAAGTGCCCGGACTTCAGGGACAAAACCTTCCCCCTCCCTCTCGCTCTCGTGCAATTGATCGAAAAGATCATGAAAAAGAAAATCAAAAGAGCCCAAACCGAACTGAATTTCAAGTGGAAGATTTATATATATATATAAAGAAAATTATATACAGGGAACCCCCAAAAAGGGAAAAGGGAAGGGAAAGGGAAAAAGGGAAAAAGGATACAACACAAATACTTCCCTCCAGAGACTGCGAGCCACACCACACAACCGCCGGCACTCTCTGCCTCTCAAGGCCAACCAGATGCACTCGGCCTCACTCCCTCGCCCGGGCAGAGCGACAGCAAAGCTACCTTCGCCTTCGGTCCGCCGGAAGAAAGAGAGCGAGAGCTTCCTCTCTCTTCTTATTTATACTCTTGCTTACGTAAAAATCGTATGGAATACTGGGAACATGGCCTTGGTTCCTTAGTTATAACTTGGTCACCAAGGAAGGCCTAGACTCAAAACCACTACAGGCATCCTCTACAAGAGCTGCAGATGCTGCAGGGTCAGTCCCCAGACTTTGCCCCCATTTGGCTCTGTGCAAGGATTGCTGCAGTGGATTAATATCAGAGCCTTCAACACAGGACACTGTCAGGCCAGTGTCAGATGCTCCAAATAAAAAGGAAAAGCCCCTTTATTTCTCCTGTTACCTCCTCCTTTTCTTGTAGGTGTCAGCAGCTCAGGGACTTCCCCCAGCAGATATTGTAGCTCACTTTTCAAATCACTGCTTTTAGTTGTCCTCTCCACAGGGAATGTTGTGACTTACTGTTTCACCTTAAATATCTAGTTCCTGATGATCCCCTATAGTGTCTCTAGGGAATCCATGACCAGTAACATCTCTGTTTTGGAAGAAAGGTTGAAAGGAGTGGTTCTGTCCAGACAAGAATAGAATTCCCACCACAGCCTTTAAGAGAAAAGTTGCCTTCTTGACATAGGTATCCCAAAACCAGCTCTCCAGCAATAAAAATCCATGGACACAGACTCTTGTACATGTGTGGTGTGCATGAAAACAGGCTCAGAGTGAGCTACTCTTCCCCCACATCTCCCCACCAAAAAAAAGGAGAAAATTTTGTTAAAATAAAAGTGGAGATTTTGGGGGGAACAGGAAGAATTGTACTGGAAGGACCAGGATACTTTCTTCTGGAAAACAGCAGTGTGGACCTTTCAGCAAGGACTGAAGGAATTCAAACAACCTCTGAAATGTATCTTCATCTGCTGTGACCCATTTCTAGAGGAGAGGGGACTCCCTCTGTTCCCATTTCCTCTGAAGCAGAACTCAAGGAGGGCTCTTCAGTACCATGGAGTGGAACACAACCTAAACATTCTCCCCAACACATCACTGACAGTCCTAGGGCATCTCCTGCAATGTTTTGGAGGGCCTGCCCCTAGACAGACATAGACAAAAGAAAGGCAGAACTCAACTTTGAAGCCAAAGGGACTCAGGTGTGTGGCTCGTGGGAGCTGCGAGCACAGCTGTGCCCTGGGGCACTGCTCTGGGAACAGGCTGTTTAACGGCCTCTGCCATCTCAGGGACAAGCAGGGCGAGCTCTCACTGCTGGGAGGATTTGCCAGGGAGTGAAGGGTGTGTGAGAGGCACCTGTGTGAGCCCAGGCCTGTTGCAGGAGGTGTTTAGAGCTTGTTCTCTTTGTTGTGCCAGCAGTTGTACAGGCTGAACATTTCACACCAGCACATTCCACAGCTTACCCGGAGCAGTGCAGCAACAAGGAGGAGAAAACAACTGGACAGGCTAAAGGGAAGAGCAGATAAACATGCCCGTGTTAACAATGGGAAACAGCAGCACCGGGATTAAAAACCGTGATTCCAAATGAGAAATGCACTTGGTGACAACAGTAATGCAAACAGGATGAAATAATGCTCTGTCGTTTTTGTGTCCTAGAACTGGATCTGAGGGTTAGAAACTGATCCACAATTCCAAGTTACCATTAATCAAAATCATTAAAGATAAAAGTTAAATTAAAAGGCAACCATCAGCTGAACCAAAATAACTTCTAAACAATTCATAAACACGGACTGATTTTTAGCTTGGCATGAAAATAGGCTTTGAGGACAGAAATGCTTGAAGGTCCAGAAAGAGTTAGGAAATACAGAATGAATATACATTGAAAATTCATGAGCCTGCTGCTAATACCCAGCTGGTCTCCAGATACTCTAAAATATTTCACCCTAACTCTCTTGGTGTTTGTTAAAAGACAAACCAGTAATCAGATCCTGGCAGTGAGAACAGTTCTAACAGCAAAATTCCTTTTCTACAAGCATGGGTGATATATTAATGAGATTAATGCTAACTACCTTAAGTGTCAGAAAAAGCAATAATGATAATGTCATTTTTAGTGTAGAGTATCCTCTGGAATAGTATTAGATGTTCAGAAGTAGAACAGTGTAGAGGAACAGGAAAATAAAAACCAGCTCTTCAAAGACATGAAAGAGCAGACATCACCAGGCACTGAAAAAACCCCAAATATTTTTGTAAAACTCTCTACCACAGTGTGGAGTACGTACCACAGAGATTGGAAAGGACTGAACTGCCACACACAAATTGTCTCAGTCACTCCCATCCTCTGAAGGTGGAAACATGGTGCCCTACATGGTCTATTTTTCCTCAGACAACTGTGGGTATATACACAAATTCAATTCCCAGAATCATCCTTGCAGAAAAATCTTTTTATGCAAAAGCAGTTTCTTCAGCACTCAACATCAGACCTTGGATCTTGCAAACATGTCATTTTAGACATCTGATCACCAGCTCAAATTGAGAAAGTGGGCACTAACCTATTGTATTGAGATGTTTCCATTTTTAAGGTCAGCATTATGTTCTTCTCTTTCTCTCAGAGCACAGAG